TGTGTGTGTGTGTGTGTGTGTGTGTGTGTGTGTGTGTATACTGCAGACACCAAGATATACAAACAGATCAGATTACACATTTTTCCATTGATTAGTAACATCTGTGCTTCCCCACTTTTGAAAACTACCAGTGGCCACTGATGTATTAACACCTTTTTATCAGTGTGACATGTATAGGTGTACCATTTTCATCCACTGTGTATACAGATGTCCTGCCCACTGACACCTGTTTGAGCTTCTGTCCGGTTGGAGAAGGGATGTGATACCAGCAATCTCCTGTGAACAGATCAAACCTTTCTAATGCTGCTGCAGAAATAGAGGCAATGCTGCAATAGCAGCATGACTTGCAATAAAATGCAACGTAAGAGACAAGTATGTATTGTTGTATTCTCATGGGGTGATACATGTACAGGCTTTGTGATAAAAGGCTATTCCCTCACCTGCCGGGTTCTGGGCAGACACAGAGCCCCTGTAGAATGCAGAGCCATCTTTAGCGATGGCCCAAACCTGGTGGACGGCACCTATGGAAATTGACTTGAAAGCCTGGTCAGTTCCAACATGTAACCATGATGACCCCTGTGAGCAAGCCATGTCATCAGTCAGGGTTACATAATTCGGAGAAGACTCTCACAGTGATAGTGCTGGAGTTTGTGAAGTATCTGTACACTATTTGCATGGGAACTACGGAATGCTAAACATATTAGCCAACTTCTAGAAAATAAGGAACTTGGCTCTTACTCCAGGGGTAAGTGAAGAGACACCCAGACGGCACAAAACATCTCCTTTGTTGCTGATGGCCCACAATGGCACCTGTTCCACTGTGCTCTTCGGTCCACAAGGCAGGATTGTGACGTCACTCAAAGATATAGGCGGGACTTCCTGCCAGGGGCCAGTTGTTGTGAGTTTACACTTTCTAAGGTGGAAGAAGATTGATGGGTGTCAAATTTAACAATTACAAAAATGGTTTCTTTATGATCACAAAAAAAGTATTTTAAAGGGGTCATATGACGCGATTTCACGTTTTCCTTTCTCTTTGGAGTGTTACAAGCTCTTGGTGCATAAAGAAGATCTGTAAAGTTGCAAAGACTAAACTCTCAAATCCAAAGAGATATTCTTTATAAAATTTAAGAGTCAACCACGCCTACCTAAAATGGCTCGTTCTAACACGCCCCCACATATCTACGTCGCTATGTGGGAAGATTTGCATAACGCCGTCCAAATGTTCACGCAAAGAAAGAAGGCGTAACTTTTATTCTTGCTGTAGTTTTGTTGTTTCCGCCGCCATGTTGTAAAGACACTGTGTGCTTCATTGTGAAAGCGAAACTCGTTTGGTCTTCCAAAAGAGGACGATCTCTGCTTCGTTATGCTTGGAGCTGATCCATGCTGGTTGCTGAGGAAATACTACAACTTTGCGCTGTGGATGGCCGGATCGGCTTTCACGGTGGATGAAGCAGAGTCCAGCCCGGAGTCGTCACATGTCCTTCCGGACGCTCCTTCGTCGAAATCGCCGGCCGCGCCGTTCTCAAGCCCACCCGCCTCTGCTCACTCTAACCCTCCAGCCGTTCCTCACGCTAGCCCCCGGCCTCTGCTCACTGTAGGCTGCCGTGTGTGATGCTGTTTCGTTGTGAAAGCGAAACTCGTTTGGTCTTCCAAAAGAGGACGATCTCTGCTTCGTTATGCTTGGAGCTGATCCATGCTGGTTGCTGAGGAAATACTACAACTTTGCGCTGTGGATGGCCGGATCGGCTTTCACGGTGGATGAAGCAGAGTCCAGCCCGGAGTCGTCACATGTCCTTCCGGACGCTCCTTCGTCGAAATCGCCGGCCGCGCCGTTCTCAAGCCCACCCGCCTCTGCTCACTCTAACCCTCCAGCCGTTCCTCACGCTAGCCCCCGGCCTCTGCTCACTGTAGGCTGCCGTGTGTGATGCTGTTTCGTTGTGAAAGCGAAACCACTTTGTTTGGCCTTCCAAAAATGGACACGACTAGAAATCAGTGGTTGAGTTGTATTTACAACACTGTTCCAGAACACTTCAACCCAAATATTCAGATGTGTACAGCACATTTTATGGAGGACTGTTTCCTGATCCTGGGAGAGTAGACTACAATGCCGGCTGTTCTGACTCACAGACTGTAAGTACGTTTTTTATATTTACAGAGTTTTTTGGGCAGTGTAGAGTAGGGCTTGTTGTTTGTCATTTCTCCGATCACAAATGCAGACATGGTTTTATGTTTACGCGACGCGATGCAGTATATACATAAACACATTTCATTACACCAAATACTGTTCTTTTTAGCAGCATCATATGACCCCTTTAATAATTTTGAGTAAGTCCACCAAAACGGAATAGATACTTCTATATAGGCTATTACACAAAAATAATAAAACTGTTTTAATATTTTTATTGTCAGTTTCTTTTTTAGTAGTGCTGTCATATGATTAATCCCATCCAAAATAAAAGTTTTTGTTTATATAATATATGTATACTAGGGGTTGAACGACTTCAGTGTTGTAAATACAACTCAACCACTGATTTCTAGTCGTGTCCATTTTTGGAAGGCCAAACAAAGTACTGAGCTACAGTGAGCAGAGGCCGGGGGCGTGAGGAATGGCGGGAGGGTTAGAGTGAGCAGAGGTGAGTGGACTGGAGAACGGCGCGGCCGGCGATTTCAACGAAGGAGCGTCCAGAAGGACATGTGACGACTCCGGGCTGGACTCCATGTTCACTCTCTCTCCTGCTTCTGATTTGTCCTTTATTCCGAGCTCCAGACACTTGGTTGGGGTATTGTACTCCTACGTGGCAAACACATACTCATGCGTGAACCCTCAAATTCAAGCAGGCCACTCTCTGCAGCAAAGAGAAAGGGAAAAATGGAGTGATGCTTTTATGCATTTCATACATCTTATGTAATCGGGCTCAAGGATGAGGATGTTTTTTCCTGCTTGTAGGATCATGTACACACACATACATATATATATATATATATATATATTAATACATTCATTTATATGTGTGTATGTATCTATATATATTTTAGGGGTTGAACGACTTCTGATTTTTTAAAAATCAACTTTTATGTGATGAAAGTCGAGTCGAAGTCGACTAGTCGCTGATGACGTCATTAATGAACAAATAAGTCTGGAGCTGAGACAAACACCTTGTGCACAGCTATGGCATATGACACAGCACTGCCCACATGGCTATTGCTCCTATAACAGCTCATTTTTATCAGTTCTTTTGTCTTTGGGTTGTTATATTTCTCACAGATTTCTGCTCATTCTAAATCATATACAGATAATGTAGCACAGTAAAGATTACATTCATATGAATGCATGCCAGCGTCTCTCTACTAGTAGTGAAGCTGTGGGATTTAGTTAAGAAATATATGCTTGAACTTTTCAGTTTCTAAGCTATTTTATTGAGAAATCACAGAACAGTGTTGACAATACATTTCTGCGCTGAATGATTCTGTGAGCGCATGATATGTGCATGTTGTACGAGCTACTGTCTGTAGCCTATGTGTGTGCGTTACAGTGCAGCAGCGCATTATATTAGAACGGCGATTAACTTACATGTACAATAAGCTGTTTAAAACGTGCGTTCTCCTGTTCAATTTCGAGCATCCAGTAATATAATCACACGTCTTGTGGAGCGCTTTCAAAGTATGCATTTATTTGTCATTTTAACTGTTTGGAAATGGAGCGTAAATGTGGAAGTCCTTCAAAGATTTCTTATCCTGTTGCACCCTCTATAGGACCAACGACGAGTCGACGTCAAGCTTAAAGTGTCATGGCAGAGCACTGAAGTCGACTAGTCGGTGCAACCCCTAATGTGTACCGTGTATATTTATTATGTATATATAAATACACACACATACAGTATATATTTTTTAAATATTTACATGTATATACATTTATATACTTATATTTTATATTATATATAAATAAATGTAATATATAAACATAAAATTTTTCTTAAATATATACATCCGCGTGTTTGTATTTATGCATACATAATAAATATACACAGCACACACACACACACACATATATATTACGTAAACAATAACGTTTATTTTGGATGCGATTAATCGTTTGACAGCACAATTTATTTTACTATTTACTACTAACTAGGGCTGTCAAATCGATTAATCGTGATTAGTCGCCACCAAAATAAAATAATGTTTACATACATGTAAATATTTCTTAAATATATATACATGTATGTATGTATGTGTATTTATATATACATATATATATACACAAATATATATATAAACAGTACATACACATAAATATTAAGCAAACACAATTTTATTTTGGATGCGATTAATCGTGATTAATTGATTTGACAGCCCTAACAATTAACTAAATGAATCCCTCCAATTGTGAATTTCAGTAGGCAAAATGCAAATGATTAAAAACCTCTGCCAAATTACATATGTCATAAAATATTTATTTATTTATTTTAACACTTTACAATTATTTTCAATTTGTTAACATTAGTTAACTACATTAGTTAACAATGAAAAAAATTCTTAAAGTAAGTGCTAGATACCTGGCCCAACGTCTGCGGCGGACAAAGTCCTTCAATGTTTTATTTCCATGGTATGACCTAGAATCGTGAATACATTCAGAAAAATAAAAAAAGTTAGTTCGCTCTCACTCTTGAAGATTGTGCTTTTCATGTTATAAGATACAGTAACAATGATAATTAACCAATATAACTTACGCAGGAAAGTCAGCTGCATACTGCCAGCCCTCTCTGTCTGTGCCACCTGGCACAGCATAGTCAATAGTCCAGTCTGAGACCTGAAAAATATTAGGGAGCATTCACACATACAGCGATTTGCAACTATAAAGCAACCATAAGTCATTCACTGTCAATTGCAGTGACATGTTCTTTATGTATTTGGAGGAAATGCATAACAGCACAAACCCAAGTCCAGTTGGGGGAGGGTGGTTTTGTGTTGTTTTTAGTGCACTCCTTCAGACCGGAGGCATCACTCCACATATAACGGTCAGTAGGGAGACCCCTGCAGGAGAAACAGTGAGGCACAGCAGTGAGCATACTGAACATTTCTGGATTACAAACGTCATGCTCAGTATTAACCTGTTAGTGTAACCAGTGACAGGATTCCAGCGCTGGTTCTCATAGATATAAACGCTCTTCACATCAGTCTGTGTGTAGATGTTATCTGTGCTGCTTGCCAAACCTGTGTGTGTGAGATAAATACATTATGTGACTAAAATCCATGAAAAACGCTGATTGGTTTGGAAAGAGGTGATGAATTTACCCTGGAAGAAGCCTCCCCCATAGCCTCCTGTGTGGACCCAGGCAGTGTGGTCATAGCCAATCCCCCACACCACACCAAGACTGTTGGACTCAATAATACGCAAATGCCCTCCGACTTGACGCCAGAACCTGCCAACGATGACAATGATTGTAGTTTTTTTTTCTTTTTTAGATAAGTCATATTTCCATAATGACTATTCATGAACTGCTATAAGGCATAACAGCAAGACAACAGACAAATATAACATTTATGAAGATATGCTTGTTCAAAAGTTTGGGGTCAGTAAGATTTTTTTCTTTTTTTCATAAAGAAATCGATACACTTATTCCATAAGGATGCGAATTAAGGATGTAAGAAAAATAAAGACTTATACATTGTTACAAAGGATTTATTTTCCATATAAATGCTTTCTATTAATCAAAGAATCTTGAAAAAAATAGTAGTTTCCAAAAATATTAAAACAGCCGTTTTCAACAGCTTTAGAAAATCGCTGCAAAAAATTCAGTGTTAAAGGGATAGTTCACCCAAAAATGAAATTTCTGCCATTAATTACTCACCCTCATGTCTTTCCAAACCCGTAAGACCTCCGTTCATCTTCAGAACACAAATTAAGATATTTTTGATGAAATGTGAGAGCTCTCAGACCCTGCATAGACAGCAACGCAACTGTAATATTCCCAGGTCCAGAAACGTAGTAAGGACATCGGTAAAACAGTCCATGTGACATCAGTGGCTCAACTTCAATTTTGCGAAGCTACGAGAATACTTTTTGTGCGCAAAGAAAACAAAAATTACTTTATTCAACAATTCTTCTTCCCCAAGTTACGTCTTACGCCATTTTAGAGAGTATCACAATGCATACGCACGCTTTCCCCTAAGCATAAACAACGCTGATTACGCAGATTACGTTCATGCGCGCACTTTCTTCCCCGAATGTAAACAACGCTAATTACGTTGATTACGCTCTTGGGTACTCTCCAAAATGGCGGAAGACGTAACTCGGGGGAGAAGAATTGTTAAATAAATTATGCTATTTTTGTTGTCTTTGCGCTCAAAAAGTATTCTCGTAGCTTCGCAAAACTGAAGTTGAGTCACCGATGTCCTTACTACGTTTCTGGACCTGGGAACATTACAGTTGCGTTGCTGTCTATGCTGGGTCAGACAGCTCTCAGATTCCATCAAAAATATCTTAATTTGTGTTCCGAAGATGAACGAAGGTCTTACAGGTTTGGAACGACATGAGGGTGAGTAATTTACATTTAGTCATTTAGCATAAGCTTTTATCCAAAGCGACTTACAAATGAGGACAATAAAAGCAGTCAAAACTAACAAAAGAGCAACAATATATAAGTGCAAATGACAAGTCTCGGTTAGCCTAACGCAGTACACGTAGCAAGGTGTACAGGTGCATCTCAAATTAGAATGTCGTGGAAAAGTTCATTAAAAAAAAAAAAAAGGAAAAAAAAAAAAAAAAAAGAAAGCTAGGGTTTTTTTTTTTTTTTTTTTTTTTTTTTTATAAAAGAGAAGATAAATATAGATAAAGTAGAATTAAAATAGAATAGAAAGATGTAGAGGGTCAAATAAAGGTGGAACAGATGTGTTTTTAGTCATTTTTTGAAGATGGTTAAGGACTCTGATTGATTTGGGCAGGTCATTCCACCAGGAGGGAACAGTTAATGAAAAAGTCTGTGAAAGGGATTTTGTGCCTCTTTGAGATGGCACAATAATACGCCGTTCACTTGCAGAACGCAAGCTTCTAGAGGGCACATAACTCTGAAGTAATGAATTTAGGTAAATGGGTGCAGAGCCAGTGGTGGTTTTGTAGGCAAACATTAATGCCTTGAATTTAATGTGAGCAGCTACTGGTAGCCAGTGCAAATTGATGAACAGAGGTGTGACATGTTCTTTTCGGCTCATTAAAGATTAATCTTGCAGCGGCATTTTGGATTAATTGTAGAGGTTTGATAGAAGTGGCTGGAAGACCTGCCAAGAGAGCATTGCAATAGTCCAGCCTGGATAGAACAAGAGCTTGAACAAGGAGTTGTGTTGCATGTTCTGAAAGAAAGGGCCTGATCTTCCTAATGTTGTATAAAGCAAATCTGCATTAATTAATTATTCTGCATCTAATTAATGACAGAATTTTCATTTTGGGGTGAACTAACCCTTTAACATCACATGATATATATGCCATCATAAATTACATTTTAAAATATAATTTGGAAACAGTTACTTAATTAGTAATATTATTCCACATTATTACTGTTTTTACTTTATTTTTAATCAAATAAACACAGCTCTAGTGAGCATAAGTGACTTCTTTCAAAAACATAAAAAAAGTCTCACTGGCCCCAAACTTTTAAAAGGTAGTTCTTTAACGAGGGGCTCTTTTGACCTCTTCAAACTCAAACTCATTCATTTATGTTAAACATTTATCACATGGTTTTTGGCCTTTGTCAACTTTCAAGTGAATTTTGGTTTAATGTGTGATGGTGTGAATTTTTTTATGTTATTTGTGACTAATGATGCATGTTGTTTTCTCAAATTTTTGGAAAAACTCAATGGTTCTGGTGGGAAAATGTTATTAGTGCATTTTTTTTGCTTGATTTTCACACTTAATACATTTACTATAAAGATTAGTTAAAAAGTTAAAGGGGTCATATGATGCGATTTCACGTTTTCCTTTCTCTTTGGAGTGTTACAAGCTCTTGGTGCATAAAGAAGATCTGTAAAGTTGTAAAGACTAAAGTCTCAAATCCAAAGAGATATTCTTTATAAAAGTTAAGAGTCAACCACGCCTACCTAAAACGGCTCGTTTTAACACGCCCCCACATATCTACGTCACTATGTGGAAATATTAGCATAATGCCGCCCAAATGTGCAAAGAAAGAAGGCGTGGTTTCAGGAACAGCAGTAGTGCTGATGCAGCAATGTCAGGGAGACGGTGTGTGTTTCAGTGCGAAAGCAAAAGCATTTTATTTGGCCTTCCGGAAGTAGATGCAATTAGAAATCATTGGTTAAGATTTATTTACAACAGAACAGCACAACCCAGATGTTCGAATTTGTGCAACGCATTTTATGGACGACAGTTCTTTGAACATAGAAGAGTACAAGGTTGGCTGTGCACAAAGGCTATTTAAAAAAAAATTTCCGTCAATTCCGACTTTGCTATGACAATCTGGCGCTTCTGAATCAGCGACTGTAAAGTATGATTCGTTTAAGTATTTGCTATTGACTGTTCAAATGCGGAGTTTTGCGCAGCGCAGAGTAACGCGTCGTGTGTGTATGTGAGGGGAACAGGGTCACATCACAGGAGAGTGAACTGCCTGTCAGAAATCATAGCACGTCAGCTGTTTGTGTAATGCATCATCACCGTCTGTCACGCGACTCTGTTGCTCTTTCGGGCTTGAACTGATGGTAAAACTAACCACATTATTAACTGTCTTGATATTTACTTTGAAAGCTGAAGCTAGCGATTATGGTTAGGGGCGTTACATTTCCGACGCGTGCTTGTGGTGTTCGGCCAATCACAATGCACTGGGTCAGCTGGCCAATCAGAGCAGACTGCGCTTTTCAAAGGAGGGGGCTTTGTTGAAAATGATGTGTTTGAGAGAGTTGGGGCATAGAGGACCTACAATAATGTACAGTATTTGAAAAATAATGTGTTTTTTGAACATTAAAGCATGTCAACATATACTGTTACACCAAATACACAAAATAATGATCTTTAAAATAGTATCATATGACCCCTTTAAATGTCTGGATGGGGGAAAGGCTTAAAAATTAAACATTTAAAAATAAAGTTTAAGGAATATACTATAATACATCCTTTAAGTAGCAAGCATGTAAAAAAAAACACTTACGGTACAGATTAAGGAAGAATCACCTATTTACATCAAAATTGTTTCCATAAAATCAATCAATCATCTGATTCTTACATCTGATCACACAGTGTGGGGTAGGGAGATGCCTCTAGTTGTTTTGTGGGCTCGCTCACAAAGATGTCACCTTTACAGGTGACCGACCAGATGGCTTGTTTCGAGGGTGGGCCCTGAATACCTCTAGAGTCACAACAGGACACACTGAGCAGAGCCAGCTGAAAGGATGAACAAACAAACTGTCAGGCAAACAGCAGGGTAATCACAAAATGCAGTGCAATTTCCCATTAATTAATTGATTAATGTTCTCTCCTCACCCAGTCGTGCATCTCCAGCTCTGTGGCCGCAGCCAGGCGGATGGGCCACCTCTGTTTTGTTCGCTCTGCTGTATAGATGGCAAATGTGTGTTTGGAGTCATTCAGTACTGGCACCAGGATTGTCACTTCGTTAATGAACACATGGAGATACTGGACAGAGAAAAGAGCAGAAAAAGAGGGTAAAATAGGGGTTGAATTTAGACCACATGAAATCACTTTACAAGCACAGATTTCTTTCCTGTGTTCATATACAGATCCATTCACAAGTTTGATGTTGATGAGATTTTTCAATGGTTTTGAAAAAAGTCTCTTATTCTCATCAAGGCTGCATTTATTTGATAATATTTTTTATTTGACAAAAATACAAAAACAGTAATATTGGGATAGATTAATAAAATGTAAAATATCTGTTTTTCTTATTATCATTATCATCATTTTGAAAAATGGCTGTGCTTAATACTTTTGTGGAAACTGAAACTCATGTTGTGAAAATTCTTTGATGAGAAGAAAGTTCATACTGTAAGTATAGCATTTATTTGAAAACATCTTTACTGTCATTTTTGATCAATTTACTGCCTCCTTGCTGAATAAAAGTATTACATTTTTCAAATAAAATCTTACTGACTCCAAACTTTTGATCAGTGGTGTATTTCCAACAGAAATGTCTTGTACATTTTTTACCTCTTTTTTAAAAAAAAATAGCAAATAAGCTTTAGATTAGTTTCTAGCTACAGTATAAATAATGTGGCATACATTTTTTGTCCACTTTCCCAGTAGAGAAAAGCTGAACGTGTGCCAAAAATAGATTTTTTTATCAACTTTTAGCAGTACACTAACCTTACTAGATGGGATCAAAGCTAATAAACATGGAATTAAAGCCACAAAACTACAATTTTGATTCCATAAAGGATGTGAGATTACCTTCTTTTCATCATTAAATGTGTAGTAGATAAACAGAATTCCATCCTTGTTACCCTCCGCTCCTGAAAACTGCTCCAGTGCAAACTGAACATCCACCCACTTATGAGGTTTCCAGTCTCGCCACCACTGCATGGTGCCCTTCTTCACCCACACAGACTGTGAAAATGACACAATTCAGGGTGAATCATTTATCAAATTATAAGCATTTTTTAAGGTTTAAGACAAAAGATTCATTTTCTAGGGGTAACTCCTCGGTTCTACCAAGCTGAGGGCCACTGTCATTGTAACTGTTGCTCGGACTATCGATCTAACTCTTGGAGCACTTGTGTGAACACTTACTGTTGCTATGTCAATGACAGTCTGGATATAATTTAAAAACAGATAAATGACAAAACTGGTTAGTATTACCGAAAACATCAGATGAGGTAAACAGTTTTGTGTTTGAGCACTACCTGTTCAATGGCCTGCTCATAATTCATGAAATTCTCCATTTCTCTCTTGGAGCGCTCGCTGAGCTGCTCAAATATCTGTTTACGCCATTCTGCCGTTTGAGCAGGTGTAATGGAGAGAGACATGGCCTGCATGGAGGAGTTCAGGGCTGAGGAGACAATCACATTTGATACGGTCAAGGACAAAGTGAATCATCAAATTCAATTACACAGATGGCAATAGGGCTGCACGATATTGGGAATATATGAACACGATATTTCCTGCAAAATTGAAAAAAAAAGGGCTAAAAATTCATTTTTACTCTGAAGATTTTTTTTTTGTGTAAAATCCTTTTAGGGTCAAATGATTTAGGAAAAACTTGAAAAATATGGCTTTTTATATTTAGATTTGCCAACTCAAATCTCTTTCTGCAATCATTTCAGAAATATCTTTCCACTTGAGGCCATATTTCAAAGGTTTTTGGCCAATTCAATATTGCTATAAAATATATCATTATTTTTATTGTGATTATTATTAAATAAAAATATTAAACAGAATAAAAAATATATTGTAACAAAAATTACACTACTAATATTTGCATTCTAATTTCTTTTTTTTTTTTCAAATGGTAAACCATTGGGTTTTATTTTGATAGTTTGCCAGCAAATAAAAAAAAATATGTGCTGCCAGTTTCATACTGGAACTTGGCACTGTGTTCATTTACACGCATGTAGCCCATGATATAAGCATCTCAGAACGGCTCGATTCACAGTAAATAAACCAAGCTGTTTATAGAAACTGAAACACTGTGTAAATGCAGCACTTCACTTGAAACATATTATATTCAATTAATTGAATCTTGACAATTGCACTAAACCATATCGCAATATCGATTTTGTTTCAATATGTCATGCAGCCCAACATGATAACCGGCTGACCTGTGGATGTAGAAGAGTTGAACCAGTTGAGCTGTGTGTGACACTCAACCAAACATCCCCCACCGCTAACCCAGGCCCATTTTGGATGCTCATCTGGCCCGTAAGGCTCCTCTAGGGCCAAGTTATAGGTGGCTACAGAGGACAGGCTGCTGGTTTCAGCTGCGTCTCCTCCAGGTCCAGCTGTGAGGTGCGTCTGGGCTTCCTCTAGGTCCACATTGCTCCATTGAGGATCCACCCCACCTGATTGGCTAGGAGACAGAACCTGGGCTGGGGAAGCCCTGTCCTCCAACTCTTTTTCTGGGTGATCTTCCTCAGGAATAGATGGGCCAGCTGGGGGGACGTCACGGCGACTGATTTGGCCTTCACGGTCAGACACGAGCTCTGAGATGAAGCTGTCACTGGTCACTTTGGGGATGCGTGGTTTAGGGGCGTCTCCTATCTCAGGTGTTGGGACAACTTCCCCCCCAGCTCTCTCAGGGTCTGCATCACTCAACACTGATGCCTGGGACTGCAGACGCACCTCACCACCAAAGAAACAACCAGCACTGTGAGGTGTAGAGACACAAAGTGTTAACATGTACAGCACCAGGAGTTTGGAATCACTATGACACATTTATATTTTTGATTATTTAAGTTATAATTTTTAACCTGTGATGGTAAGGTGCTTTCAGTATCCATCAATCCAGTCTATTAAGAGAACACCTAATGAAGTTATCTATCTATTATCTATTTGTTTATCTAAACTAATTATCTCATTTGAATTCATTGATTTGTGCAAAAATGTTCAACTATTATTGCAAATTAAATAACTACTTAAAACACTATCATTAAATGAAAAAAAAGAGATTATTTGTCACATATGACAACACACTGCAAACTATTTTTTAAAGAATACCTAGCATTTCATGAACAATATAAATATTAATCCGATCACATAAGACAACACATTTTTTAAACTCTTATGCCACATTGTCTTTTTTAGTTTCTGAATTATTGACTACACTTGCAATGCTGAAGTCTACTTTTGGTTTTAAAGACACTCCTTTCTCTAGAAATTGATCATGCTGTGACAAAGCAACTTGATCCCATTAATTTGACTTCTGCCGTTCATTTAGTGATTTCTGGACAGATGAGCGGCAGTGGCTGTTGGTAACAGGATGTAGGCGTGTCAAGCAACATGACATGACATGATTTTTGCTGTATTCACCAATAGCAGAATATTACTTTTAATCAGTGTTGGGCAAGTTACTCTGAAAATGTAATCAAATTACTGATTACTCCTTTTCAAAGTAATCACATTACTGTTCTGATTACTTTATTTCAAAAGTAATTAGTAATTAGTTACATTACTAGTTACGTTACTTTTTTCTCCATGAAATTGATGAAATCCCAGCAAACACATTACCGATAAATATTTGTTATTAAAGGATCAACATTCACAGAACACTGTTATTTTTAACAAAAGCAAGCGGCTGCTGCGTGCATGTTTTGGCATGGCAGAATGCCAGCAAAGAGCGCTGCATTTATAATCTCTAAAAGACATCTCAGTTCATCGCAATCTCACAAATCTCAGTTATAACACAATAAATATAAGCATACTGAATCTCTCATAATGTCTACAATTCGTGTGTTAAATGAGAGGATTCGTGAGCAAGCAAATTGCTCAACGCTGCAAACACGTGTTATAGCCTAAATAGAAACTCTGCATACGCTTGCACCTGTTAATCGTTTATATTTTATATTAGTTAATGCTGCTTTTGTGCAATAGATGAATAACAATTTATTTGTTTTAGATATTTTAGGTTGATATTTCTATTTTGCGGGAGTCCCGTGAATCATTTTATTCTCCCACATCCCACACACACGCACACGAGCGTCTACCCGCCCGCAGCAGCCCTCGCCCATCTTGTCCCACGCCGCACTCTATTGCATCGGGTCTCACGGGAGCAGGTCTCTAATCAACTGGCACTTGACTCGACAGTGCGTGTGCTACATCCTTTTTACAATCTAGATTATAAAACACTGCATTCTGTCAGCAATTTAACGCGGCAGTAACGTATAGAGACCTCGGCTTGTAACTATACTCTAATTACTATTTTGAAAATTATAACGCGTTAAATTACTCAGTTACTAAAAAAGTAATCAAATTACAGTAACGCGTTACTAAGTAATGCGTTACTGCCCAACACTGCTTTTAATTATTTTAAAATCTTAGTTTTAGTGGCAATATATTTAATTTGCAATAAAATGTCTAAAGAAATGTCCAGAAAGGTCTACCAATAACATACAACAAAAACTAGGAATGTCGCAACTAGGACATGCAAATCGATCACAATGTGCAAATTTTAAAGTCCACTAACCTCTGAAGGCTGCTTGCGCTGGCGCTAGAGTGGGAACGTTCACTATCTCTGGGTACAGACACAACTTTCCAGGCCTTCCCACTAAGCTCGCTGGCAGTCACACCCTGGCGGAAATATACCGCCCGGTCTTCAAAACCAATAGCCCACACCTGAGCACAGAGACACATCACATGATCTTCACAGATCTCAGTAATAACTGCTGAAATGGTTTCAGAACCATTCTCACTAGAAACATATACAGTGCCGTGAAAAGGTTTTTGCCCCCTTCCTGTTTTTTTGGCATATTTGTCACTTAAAAGATTCAGATCATCAAACAAATTTTTATATTACACAAAGATAATGCAAGTAAATACAAAATGCAGTTTTTAAATGATGATTTCATTTATTAAGGGAAAAAAGCTGTCCAAACCTACCTGGCCCTACGTGAAAAATTAATTGCCCCCTCCTGTTAAACCATGAAAGAACTGTGATTAACCACAATATTTTAGAGAGCTGAGTTAAATTTCACTAGCCACACCCAGGCCTGATTACTGCCAGACCTGTTGAATCAAGAAATCATTTAAAAAGAACCTGTCTGACAAAGTGAAGCATGCTTAAAGAGCAACACATTATGCCACGATCTAAAGAAATTCAAGAACATGTGAGAAACAAAATAGTTGACATGCATCAGTCTGGAAAGGGTTATAAAGCCCTTTCTAAGGCTTTGGGACTCCAGTGAACCATGGTCAGAGCCATTATCCACAAATGGAGTAAACTTGGAACAGTGGAGAACCTTCCCAGGAGTGGCCGGCCAACCAAAATTACTCCAAGAGCACAATGACTCATCCAGGAGGTCATAAAAGAACCCAGAACAACATCTAAAGAACTGCAGGCCTCACTTGCCTCAATTAAGGTCAGTGTTCATGATTCAACAATAAGAAAGAGACTGGGCAAAAACGACATCCATGGGAGAGTTCCAAGGCAAAAGCCATTGCTGACCAAAAATAACACAAAGGCTCGTCTCACAATTGCCAAAAATATCTTGATTATCCTGACTTTTGGGCAAATATTCTGTGGACTAATGTGACAAAAGTTGAACTTTTTGGAAGGTGTGTGTTCCGTTACATCTGGCGTAAAACCAACACAGCATTTCATAAAAAGAACATCATACCAACAGCAGTGAACTGCAAGTCGGGGGGGATGTGTTAGTGGGGATGCGTTGCAATATTGGAAATATTTCTGTTTTAAACCGTGAAGGTGAGCCAGTGGATATCACACAAGCAACGTGCAAACGTTGTTCAAGACTTAATGCCGGTGAACGTCTTTCACCTTGAAAGTGAAAGTAAAAACTGACGGCGCTTTCTGCATCTGACAACGCACGCATTAACAGCGCATATTCTCTCAGAGACAACGAGAGACGAATCTCCTACTTAATATGCGGTATATTACTGTTTTAATTTATTTCCTTAATGTTTCTCTTGTGGCCCGAACATAGTGAAAACAATGAGAAGAAACGTATTTCGTGTTGAACAGGTTTTCTTTGAAAGTCGGCGCTTAAAATAAAGCTGCTCTTAAATTTCATTGATGACTGACATGTTAACAATTTTATTTAGGCTATAGGCCTATAATTCATTGGAGGCTATAATAGACCTGTTTTAAAAGACATTTTTCAATGAGGAGTAGCCTAAGCTAATAGCTTAATCTTTTATTATCCTCACAGCGTGTCAGTTATGCGGTGATGCCCTATGAAATTATTGCGGAGCATATTAATTGTAATATTAATTTAATAATAAAAGTAACCTAATAATAATAGCCAGAATGTAACAGGCCTACATTAATTGGAAATGCCAAATACTCTTAATAATTACCATATTTAATGCTTTTGACAATATCTCTGGCTATCGTCGATACATGATCATCGTCTTTCAATGCACCTCATCGTCTTATCGCGGGGCCCCAAACATGCAGCTCAAGCACACTTGGGTTATGCAGCAGGACAATGATCTCAAACACACCAGCAAGTCCACCTCTGAATGGCTCAAGAAAAAACAAAATTAAGGTTTTGGAGTGGCCAAATCAAAGACCGGACTTAAATCCGATTGAGATGCTGTGGCATGATTTAAACAGTCCATTCATGCTCAAAAACCCTCCCATGTGGCTGAATTAAAACAATTCTGCAAAGACGAGTGGGCCAAAATTCCTCCACAGCATTGTGAGACTCATTGCCAGTTATCACAAACGCTTGATTGCAGTTGTTGCTGCAAAGGGTGGCACAACCAGTTATTAGATTTAGGGGGCAACTACTTTTTCATGTAGGGCCAGGCAGGTTTGGACAGCTTTTTTCTCTTAATAAATGAAATAATTATTTCAAAACTGCATTCTGTATTTATTCGGGTTATCTTTGTGTAATACTAAAATTTGTTTGATGATCTGAATCATTCAAGTGTGACAAATATGCTAAAGATTAAAACAGGAAGGGGGCAAAAACCTTTTCACGGCACTGTACTCAGATGAATTCATATATATGGCATAATATCTGGTATTTTAACACACCAATATTTGTACATTTGTGTGTAATGTTTCACACAGGAAAAAAAAACGTTTATGCCACATTTTCATATTTGTATTTATGGCATTGTTTAATGCATCTATTTATATGAAAGTTTCTGGGTTAAGCCTTCAAAAGATTTTAGTAGCCAAGAGTATGCACTGTCTTTATTCTGCTGTTTTCTGCTTTTTATGTTGAAATATGTACCCCATGTACAGTTATTCAATGTAAAAAGTACATCAGAGACAGAAATTAATGAGATAAACCAAAGAGGAAACACTACTAATCTCTGACCTGATCATTGAGACCAACGTTGATCATGACCATCTCTCCAACCATACCTATCCAACCTGAGCCACAAGGATTATGAGAATTCACACCCCGTCTAAACCAGACCTAATAAAAATAAGGAGATGTGGAAAAACAAGATAAATAAGAATAGAAAAATGTACATATCTGTTCAACAGTTTGGGGTTGATAAGATCTTTAAATGTTTTTCAAGTACCTTATGCTCAACAAGGCTGGATTTATCTTATCAAAAATAAAACAACAAAATATTACATAAATGTTTAACATAATTTACATAACTATTTAAGATATTTTAAAATATCATTTATTCCTGTGATGGCAAAACTTATTTTAAAGGGGTCATATGATGTTGCTAAAAAGAACATTATTTTGTGTATTTGGTGTAATGCAATGCGTTTATGTGATTTAAGGTTAAAAAAACACATTATTTTCCACATAATGTACATTATTGTTTCTCCTCTATGCCCCACCTTTCTGAAACGTGTCGATTTTTACAAAGCTCATCGGTCTGAAAAGCGAGGTGTGCTCTGATTTGCCAGCTATCCAGTGCTTTGTGATTGGCTGAATACCCTCATATTGTGACGCCGTGTCCCGGTGCGACGAGACAAAACCAGTAAAACCTATTATAAACGAGGCATTTGTTGCATCCAGTGGGGACATAATTACTGATCATGACTTACAGTGGGGCAAAAAAGTATTTAGTCAGCCACCAATTGTGCAAGTTCTCCCACTTAAAAAGATGAGAGAGGCCTGTAATTTTCATCATAGGTATATCTCAACTATGAGAGACAAAATGAGAAATAAAATCCAGAAAATCACATTGTAGGATTTTTTAAGAATTAATTGGTAAATTCCCACTGATTTCTAGTCTTGTCCTCTTTTGGAAGGCCAAACGAAGTAGTTTCGCTTTCACAACGAAACACAGCGCTTTCACGACATGGTGGCGGCAGCAAGAATACTACATGAGAATCAAAGTTACGCCTTCTTTCTTCGCTTGAATATTTGGGTGGCATTGTGCAAATCGTGTGAATAGGGCATGTAAGAACGAGCCGTTTTAGGTAGGCGTGGTTAACTCTTAACTTTTATAAAGAATATCTCTTTGGATTTGAGACTTTAATCTTTGCAACTTTACAGATCTTCTTTATGCACCAAGAGCTTGTAACACTCCAAAGAGAAAGGAAAAATTTTAATCGCATCATATGACCCCTTTAAGCATCCATTACTCCAGTCTTCAGAGTCACATGATCCTTTAGAAATCATTCTAAATAAAAGTATTCATTTCTTTCTTTTTTTTTTTATTGGCCCCAAACTTTTGAACTGTCCTGCATGTAAAGAAACCACCATTTCTAGTATAGGCAATATAATATGAATGATAATATAATTTGTCATTAAATAATAATAATACTTTGTGAAATAATAGAAGCCTTTTTATTAGTGGTCTTAGATTTTGGAACCCCACTGTATGTGCAAGTGTATATTAAATTAAAACATGACTTACTTTATGATCTTTAGTGACAGCCCACACTACATTCACACCAACAGCTACGTGTACGGCACCCACAACAGGGCTTGGCGACTCCACCGTGACCCATGATGACCCTGTGATTACATCAATATTATCATGTCTATCATCTACCTAATTTGTTTGGTGTGTACTTCACCACTACACTCACCCTTCAGGCAATCTCTGCCAATGCCCTCTCTGACCAGCAGATGACCCTCCCACAGGACAGCCCACACCAGGTCACCCGGGCCGCAGCTGATCTGCACAACCTCCCCTGGTACGGGCACCTCCTCCCAAACGGAGCCCTCGGGACTATGATGGTTGATGCCACACCGGAACCACACCTGCTCGAATGTACAAAAAAAACGGATCTTTATGTGGATAAACGGAAATGCATCTGAGTTCCAAGAATTACACTCTGTACAGCTTTGTAAGAACTGAAAAATTAATAGATTATAAAAGCATGAGGTGTTGTTGGACACTGTTTGTAAGCCTGGAACGAACTGAGTTCTGACCTTTCCCTGCAGAGAGACCGCCCACAGTGCCAAACACCCTCTGGGCTCCTCAGTAATCTCCCAACTACCACAAGTGATGTCATTAAACGGGTCAGGAAGAGACTCAGTCTGCTCTGAGGGGATCTGCTCTCACATATAAAATAAATTTTTTTCCATCAACATTAAAGAGAAACCATTAAGATAAGATATACTGTATAATTGCTTTCAAGACCTTTGTGCTGTTACACACCTTGACCCAAGTGTCCTGTGCCTTGTACCTTCTGTATCGTATCCATCTGCGACGACGCACACAAGAGTTCCATTTTTTGTCTTTCGTGTAAGTGGCTGGAAAATCAATAGCATATGTCCATCCCTGAAAACACACAGAATATCAGCTATGGCATAACGCAAGTGAAAGCTCTTTCTGTGGTTTTAAAAACGTCAATACTGACCCCTTTCTCTGTGGGCTCTCCTCCAAAGTTTTCATCCACGTACCAGTCCGCCTCCCACTCCCAGTTCTCAGAGGGCAGCTGAAAGTCACCCAGAGGCTGGTGCCTCAGCCCTGTGACATCACTCCACTGCCAGCGGTCACTGGGCAACAGCCGGTCCGAGAAGCCATCGACGGGGTTCCACCTCTGCCAGGAAACAGGAAACACATAAGTGAGTCTCATTTGATAATCAATGCTCTATAGAGTTAATGAAAAATAATAGTGTTTACAATAAAAAAAACTTACAACGTTTTTAGGCATGTATGGTTTCATATAGTTTTGAAATACTTTCATACTGCTTCGTGAAGAGTAACTATTTAATGACTCTTAAAATGCAATGTGGTGAAACCAAACTTATTATTATACACCTTGAATGTATGTAAGTGAATAAATCCTAATATTTAGAAATAAATAAAATAAAAATAATAATAAGATAACTATATGAATTCTAATAAGTTAATCCTATTTTTAAGCAAGGACACATTAAATTGGTCAAGAGACAGTAAAGACATTTATAATGTTACAAAAGATTTCTATTTCAAATGCATTCATCAAAGAAATCTGAAAATAAAATGTCCACAAAATTATTAGGCAGCACAGCTGTATAAGAAATATTATAACATTAAATTGATTTCTGAAGAATGATGTGACATTAAAAACTGGAGTATTGAAAATTCCACTTTGCCGTCACAGGAATACAGTTTTTATTAAAAACAAACAAGACATAATAAATATCTTTCATTTTTTCATTCTTACATTTTTAAAAATCTTGACATGACACTTTAAAACCTGAACTAACATAAAAGGTCAAAGTATCTGATATTTAATTTTAAAATGTATCTGCTAACATTAGTACTTGACCTAACAAAAAGTTAATTAACTAATGTTTAAAAAGATTAATTAATACTGTAACAAGTGTATTTCTCATTGTTAATGTTAGTTAATACATTACCTAACGTTAACTAAAGTTAATTGTAAAGCATTACCTTAGTCTGAGATGACAGGGCTTTGCAGATTATCTCATAATCAAGTGCCTCCGTCAATTCATGTTTAAAGGAGAGTAAACGAAGACGGCAGAAATGTGCACAGCTGCACATATGCAGTTTGTTGTGGAGAACGGTATCTAGCACAACATTTGTGTTCATTTGTGTGGAACTTCTTTCCACAAAGGATGAATCTATTTAGTGGATCAAACACTACACCTTTTCTAATATGATGCTTCAAACATGCTCGGAAATCTATAAATCCATCACCCAGTGGTCTGGTTTCATTTGTAGGTGGTCTGGATTCAGTGCCAAGACGTAAGTTTAATTTGGGATATCCAATACTTTTTAAAGACTGATTGAGGTTTGTTTCAATATTTTCAAATTCAACTTATTCAACTTTCAAATTCAACACTATTTTCAAACACATGCATTTTACTATTATGTCCTTACGTCGTAAACATAAATGTGGGCGGGACTAACTGAAACTGAGGAATCATCATGGACTCTTTTCACAAGACTGTGATGATGCGTTTCAACGGCATCATTTTTTAAAATATTTTGATTTGACAAACAACTTTTGTTATACATTTATAACACTATACTTTGTCTCATTTCACCTTTGCATCAAAATACAAAAAAACTAGTTAACGCTAATGCGAGAGTGTTTCTAATGCAGCGTCTATGAGAGGGATGGTAAATTTGACATCTTTCTCTCTCCTGACTACCATCATCAGTCTCTCTCAATTTTTTTCCTTTTTTTGAACATCGTAAAAGCACTATAGTGGAGATTTCTTTTGCTATATGAATGCAAAAATATATTTGTGGTACTTTCCCATTCACTGCTCTCCAAGTTTACTTGGATATAATGTCCTGTATATATTTTTTTCTGCTTATTGGTCAAACCCTATAACAATGATTTGTAGGGCTGGGTATCGATTCAGATGTCCCGATTCGATTCGCTTCGCAAGCTCTCGATTCGATTCGATTCTCGATTTTTTTATTACATTCAGTGAATATAGTTTTAATACAAATGCTATTGATATTTCTAAACAATTAACAGTAAACATCAGTTTACAAATGGTGAATTAATAAAAAGAAATTAAGAACCACATGCCTGTATTTTAAACCTATACTTTTTTTTGTATGGGTACTTTAAAAAAATAAAATAAAATAGGGCCCTATAAAATGTTCTTAATTTTTCTGGTAATCAGATGAAGGCATAAAACATTAATTTAATTTACCCTAATCAAATGAAAAGTAAACCCTTTTATTTTTTGGCAAACAAAGTGCTGCACAACAGAGGTTTACCGTTAAAATTAAAAAGAAAACAGATGTGATTATTCCTTTAAAAATAAAGATGTATTAATATTTATTACTGGGTCAGCTGGCCAATCAGAGCAGACTGTGCTTGTCGGAAGGAGGGGCTTTGTAGAAAACGATGCGTTTGAGAGAGGCGGGGCATAGAGGACCTACAATAATGTACAGTATTTGAAAAAGAATGTGTTTTTTGAACATTAAAGCATGTCAGCATATTCTGTTACACCAAATACACTAAATAATTATCTTTAAAATAGCATCATATGACTCCTTTAAATGTATAACTAACTTCTTTTGCTTTTTGACTTAACTGAACCAGACATTTTATACTGTGGTCTGTTCATTTTAGTTAGGATAATTCACGCCGAGCTTTCTGTCTGTCTAACTGCAGAGAGAGAGTCCTTGAGACTTGGTCAGCAGGTGGAGTGATGTTTAATATGCACTGTTCCATGTTAGTGATCTAATGCGAGTTAGACATATGCCATCTTGCATCACATCTCTACATGTGCACACGTTCACACATAGCCCATCCGCCTCAGAAACCACTGTGTGACAGTGGAGCTCACGGTATGATAAAATCAGACTGACACAGCTTAAATACTCCAAAGATCCACATTCCCCAACAGAAAAGAGGACCCGGGTGCCCCCCGCTAGTATGCAGGTGTGTGAATCACATGGAATGATTGTGAATTTTAAAGAGGTCCCATTATGCTTTTTCAGCTTTAGTTAGTCAGTAATATTGCTGTTTGAGCATAAAAAAGGTCTGCAAAGTTACAAAGCTCAAAGTCCACTTGAAAAGGAGATATTTTATTTAACAGAAATCACTTTTCAAAAACTGCAACGAACGACTCGTTTGGACTACAACGCATAGTCTGGTTGAGCTGCACTAGAGAAGGCAACGAGTGTTATCACTATGTCGGAGACACGCTAGCTTTCCCAAGGCAGATGAACTTAGAGTGGTTACAATCATCCGGGTTTAAATCGCACTCAAATTTATTTAATTTTGACGCAATATTTACACTGAAGCTCACAGCATGAGCAAAGGGCATGACATTTCCCAATAGGGCTGGGTATCGATTCAGATGTCCCGATTCGATTCGATTTCGATTCGCAAGCTCTCGTTGATTCTCGAATTCTCGATTTTTTTATTACATTCAGTGAATATAGTTTTAATACAAATGCTATTGATATTTCTAAACAATAACATCAGTTTATTTTAAACCTATACTTTTTTTTGTATGGGTACTTTAAAAAAATAAAATAAAATAGGGCCCTATAAAATGTTCTTAATTTTTCTGGTAATCAGATGAAGGCATAAAACATTAATTTAATTTACCCTAATCAAATGAAAAGTAAACCCTTTTATTTTTTGGCAAACAAAGTGCTGCACAACAGAGGTTTACCGTTAAAATTAAAAAGAAAACAGATGTGATTATTCCTTTAAAAATAAAGATGTATTAATATTTATTAGCAGTAGTAGCATTGATTCTTAAGACTGCTAAATAGTAATATATTCTGACAGTTTCTTAAAGTTAAACTAAACGTTTATTTTGACGGGTTGCCGTGAAGAACTTCCAGCTGCTGTGTAT